TGCCAATTCAGTCCTAAAATTTTTCCATAATTTTTCCATTGATGCCAATTCAGTCTTAAACCTTTTTATGATGCAAATTCAGTCATAAACTTTTTGTATTTGTGCCAATTTAGTCATAAACCGTTTATTTTTGTGCCAATTCAGTCCTTTCAGCCAATTTTGGCCAGATTTTGCTGACGTGGACGCCGACTGACCAGCGTTGACGTGGACAACTTTAATAATATTTGATGCGACCTACCCCCGTCCCGATTGGGTTTAGGCCAAGAGATATTTGTCGATGGATGTGAACAACGATTAATTCATTTAGAAGACAAACTAAATGGTTCATTAATCCAAAGACCGAGGCACTCCCAAGCCTTACTCCTCGTGCGACGAGAATTTTTTAATTTACACATTTGATTGGAGTCGCCACTAGCCATGATGAAGGGTCGACTAGAAATCTTGATCGAGATGCGGGAGTGTCGTCTCGATACACGCGAAAACCAGAAATTCTAAAGTTCGGGGACTTGATTACACTAGCGATCTAACTAGTGCCCTTTCGGTACCTAAACTTGAATGTTTGCAAACTAACGTACCGGACAGCTTATCGAAAAAGCTAAGATTCCACCTAACCGTTCTAAAAATAGAAAATAACAATCAATGTATTAAAAGTGCACAACCAGATAATCGTGAAGAAAATAAACAACCAGCGATCTAGCATCGTCTCTAAAAAGAAAATGCAATCAAAAGCCCTAAAGTAAAGCCCTAATGGCTTATTCGAATTTTGAGAATTTTTTAGAGGTTTTTTTTTCATTTTTCATTTTTTTTTGAGTTTGTTAACTTAAAATCTAGTGAAATTAAGTCCAAAACTGGTTTTTGAACATTTCCTAATTTTTTGATTTTTTTGGAATTTTTCTGATTTTTTCTGAATTTTTTAAATATTTTTTAATATTTTTTAATATTTTTTGTTTAATTAATATTTTTTGGGATTTTTAAACATTTTCGAATTTTTTTGGAATTTTTAATTTTTTTAAATATTTTTTGAATTTTTGAAAAATTTATTAATAAAAGAAAGATTCCGGACCGGGTCCCCTGACCCGATCCGCCCAACTGCCCGACCCGGGTTACCGATCCGCCCAAGTTTTCAAATTTTGATTTTTTATTATATTTTTTCTTCCCTTTTCTTTTTTCTCTCTTTTCCTTTTCTTTTCTCCTTTTTTTTTTTATTTCTTTTTCTTTTTCTATTTTTTTTTCTTCTTCATCCCCTCCTTCGTACCTTCTGCCCAGAATGCTTCTCCCCTTTGCTCAATGGCCCTCTTCACCGAGAATGTCTTTGCCGAGGCCACGCCGGGGTTTCGTCGGGGACACCCACCGCTGGCCGTCGGCTCGGGCCACCAGCGCCGATGACCGGCGCTGGCCCTACGTCGTCACCACCGGCCGACGTTCCAGGGACCGCCCCAACGACGGTAGAAACACACCCCCTCCTCAAACTCTCCGACTAACCTGCTCGGCCCCAGAGACTTTTCCTCCCGAACCCATACCGACAACCAGTAAATAAACGACCAAACACACATCAAAACGAGGAGGAGTGAACTGACTAAGGCGGTCTCAAACCACAGGCTTCCTCTGTATGGGGGGAATGTCTCCGGCGAGGGGATGCATATGCGAGGCCGGCTCGGACAACGTTAACATACTGCGAAAACCACATGAAAGGCAACCAAACTCGGAGTCAGTAATAACATTAATGCAAACCACGCATACAACACAGCTTTAGAGCTCGATTTAACAAGAAAAGAACTGAAACTTCATTCGGGCATTTCATCGAGCATATGGCAGGCGTCGTTCATTGAGAGCTTTAAGCCGAGATTCGAAGCAATATAGGGCTTAAACGTGATGTATGAAGATCCAAACAGCTGTATTTAACAACGAACATGTCTCGGTTTACGAAAAAACGACCCAAAAATGCAAGATCAAATTTGGCGCCCTAAGCTCAAAGAGGTTCATTGGGGCATTTCAACAAGCGGATGGGGTGCGCTTAAAACTAAGGGCTTCTAAGTCGATTTTTTGTGGGGTTCAGAGCTTGTTTCTCATTAAAAATCGTTCAATAACATCATTTGGGGAAGTACGGAACCATTTTCCTCGTTCTGTGGTGTCGGGCAAGCACCGAATGAGCTCGTTGAGCCCGGCACCGGAGAGTCAGGGGAGGAGGAAAACAGGGGAGCAGAAACTAAACCCACCTAGTTCGTGTCCGACCGAGATGAAGTGCGGCGACCGAAAACTCGATGGTACCGACGACGACTCGGGTTGATGGCCGGCAAACGAGCCAAACTCTCTTCCTCCGGGTACCACCCTCCCACTCTCTTGGTCTCTCTCTGTGCGAGGAGGTCGAACCACGCCAAAGAAGAAGGCGTCCGACTCTGGTTTCCGCAGACTCTCAGTGCACGGCGGAGAGGGGGAAGAGATTTGCCCAGCCCCTCCTTGCCGATCAAGGGGGTCGGAACGCTCTCCTCGCTACCCCTCAATCCTCCCCTTTTCCTCTCCGTTTTTTTCTCTCCCGTTGCTCCCTTGTTCTTCCTCTCCTTTTATCCCCGGTCGAGACCCCCTTTTGGGACCACTGGCCACCTGATCCCCGCCCCCCTTCGACGCGAGACGATGCCCCCTGCTGCTGCGCAAATTCTTCTACTGCCCGTCGACGCCGCTCTGCTCTCTGGCTTCGTTGTCCCTGGTCCCCCTCCTCTTCCTTTTGTCCCTTCTGTCTTGTACAAGCGTGCGTGAGGGAGAGAGTGAGGGGTTGAGCGGCTGGGCTGGGCTGAAGAGAAAGAAATGATGGAAGGTTGGGCCGAAAATAAAAAAAAGGAGGGGGAAGGATCCGAAGGTGGGCTGAAGAGAGAGGAAAAATGAGGGGCCAAGCGAGCATTAAAAGATCGGAACTAGGGCTGATGGGCCGGGCTAGATTGGTCCGATATATATACTTTATTTATTTTAATTTTAGTTTTATCTCTCTTTTGCACTAACTTAGCCCATTTACTATTCAAGCCTTAATTAATCGCGGCGGGGCAAAATTAGGTGTCAACAATATTTTAATATTTTTTTGAATTTTATTTCTTTTTTTCTTTTCCCCCTCCCTTCCCTCCTTCCTCCAGCCGGTCGTCGGACCAGTGACTGGCCAGAGGCCAGAGGCCGGCGAGGCCCGACATCCCTATCGACGGCAAAGGCGAGCCTCGCCATGGCTGGGCGAGGCCCGACTTCGCCTGCTTTGGCTGGAGGAAAGAGGGAGGGGAGGGGAAAAAAAAGAAAAAAAGAAATAAAAATTCAAGAAAATATTAAAATATTATTAAAGTTGTCCACGTTAGCGCCGGTGACTGGCCGGCGACCACGTCAGCAAAATCAGGCCAAAACTGGTCCGAATGACTGAATTGGCACAAAGACAAAAGGTTTTGGACTAAATTGGCACAAATGTAAAATGTTTAGGATTGAATTGACACCAATGTAAAATGTTTAGGATTAAATTGGCATCAATGCAAAAGGTTTAGGACTGAATTTGCACAAAAAAAAGGTTTAGAACTAAATTTGCATCAATGCAAAAGGTTTAAGACTTTTTTGACACTTTTCCCTAAGATGTTGTGATGACTTTGGGGCATAATTTTTTTAGGTAAGTAACTTGATGGCTCAATTAAGGGTAACTATCACGAAAAACCTCAAACTGATATATCCATGATAAATAAACTCCAAATTAATTTCACCCAAAACCCTAAATGGGTAAACCCGTGACAAATTTATCTCAAACTAATTTTTGCGTTAGCAAAGCTCCAAACTGATACACTTGTAACATATTTACCCCGTCAGCTTTTGTCAAATATTATCGTGAAATTGCTGAGCTAGATGACACATGATAGTAACTCGATTGACATGACGAGTCCATGTGAAAATTCATATCAATTTGGGGTAAATTTTTTACAGATATACCAGTTTGGAATTTTTGGTGACCCAAAAATTAGTTTGGAGTAAATTTGTCACACTGTACCAGTTTGGAGTTTTTGGTGACCCAAAAATTAGTTTGGAGTAATTTTATCATGAGTATACTGGTTTTGGATTTTTCTTGGTATTAACCCCTTAATTAATCTTGGTGTGAAAATCAATAAGAAAAAACAAATTAGATTTATAAAGAGTATCGATATAAATTTTTCGAAAGATATGAAAAGACATGCTTTAATTTGTCGATCTACTTATATTACGAGGTGGTACAAATGGTTAATTATCTAACTTATAAGTTCATCAAAACATCTAGAGATAATATATTATATTTTCTTTAAAACTTGGTATGATTGGGTCATAAAATTAAATGGCTTCGAGAATATCCATTTTGATTGGTTTGCCCTCGACTCTAAATTTGACACGCGTCCTATAAAAAGAAGAGCTAAATAAAGTTGCTTTTTTTATTTAGTTAGGTGGTTAGCCAATACATATAAAAATTCTGGGTGGGAAAATCTTTTTAATACTTAGACGGACCTAGCTAAGACCATACTCAAATCATCTCACGTAAGCATAATCATGTCTTATGGACATAGAATTAGTCGTACCCATCATTTCGTAACATAATTTGTCACGTGGTATATCCACAGGAATTAGCCAACAATTGTAGCTATCTAAAAAAATTATAACGTGAACCCACATCCATGATGTACCTTAATAATTTCATGGACCTAGTAAGTTAGAACAAGAGCCCGGGCGATAGCCAAAGACGGATCCTATACATATTTTTGTGATGGGGTCAAATGATCCACAATTGCGTAGAAATGAAATATATCAATTCGAGATATAAAAGCAGATACACATAAAACTCAAGTATACCCTTCTCTTTAATTGAGATTTACGATAAAATTATATCATTAGTTGATATATATTTTTTTGTTAATTGTGGCAGCAGGTGGGCAACATTCTAATTAGTTTGCCCGATTTCTGATTTGAATTAATTATATAAAAGGAGTAAGAGAAATGCTTACATGACTGTCCTTAATCTACTGTGAGAATAATAACTTGTTTTGGACATATCTTATACTCTTAACTATCGTATAGACAATGTCTGGCTATTTACGAAAATGCCCACTTTTGGACAAGATGAAGTTGCCCGTTTTGCATGTCTCTATGCCTGCCTAGATTTTGGAACAATTGTACATCGTACATATTATCAGTTGCTCCTTAAACTTGCTCTTCTCCTCCCGTTTTCTCTTCGAGGCATTCTTTGGTCACTTCGCTCTCCTTTGTCATCCGCTCTCGAACATCGTCACCCTCCTTAACATCGTTCTCGTTAGAAGAGGCAACGACGATCTCAATGGATTTGGATTCGGATTCGCCGGGGTTGCTCAACGGCACTAACTGATTCGTCCTCTTGTTCTCCTTTCCTTTGCCCCACAGCACCGCATAGAGACCGAGCACTATGAGCCCCGACCCTAGAATGCTGCCATCGAAAGTAAGGGAAAAACTTTGGTATAACCGTTGCAAATAAGCTTTTTTGTTTTAACATTCGGATATTTCCATGTAAAATGATTCGAGGGGTTCGAATGCATCAACTATATACCTCCCGAGGTGCAATTTTTCGTCCAACACCATAGAACCCGCCAAGGCCACGGTCACCAGCATCAAAGGATTAAACACCGACACGAAGACCGGTCCTCTCATCCGTACACACCAAGCGATCAGAGTATAGCACAGCCCGGAAGCGAAGATCCCCTACAAACCATAGGCAAACCCGCGTCGTGCGAGGGTTAGCGGATCAGTTAAGGACACACGCCGGGGTAGTTCGACAATCGATATTAAGCTTTAATGAATGTGCACAACATCAGAGAGTAAGGCGTTTGTTGTGTGTACCGAGAATGATGCGGTGAGGAGCCCGACGTTCCATCCGAGCTTCCAGTGGCTCCAGTCCCTCTCTCGGCACAATGCGTAAACCACTGCTTGGATCGACCCCATGAAGGTCATCAACGCCGTGCTCGTGTATGGGTGCGGGAACCCTTCACTCATCTTCGCCTGTCCAACAGATCATTTTGCATTATTCTTTGTAGTTTCCCAAACCAATCCACGATGAAGTGAAGCAAATCAAAGGCGACAACGGGAAGACGTATCGAAAAGAAAAAGGCAAAGACCCACCTGAATGATCAACCACAAGGCGTAGCAGAAGCAGCTGGCCACGGCCAAAAGCGAGCCCAGGGGGAGATTGCTCGAACCCTCCTGGCCCTGCTGGGTCGCCGCCACGTGGCGCAGCAGGTTCACGTGCGTTGACCACAGGTTGACTTCCACGCCCCTGTAGAACGTGAGCAGCATTGCCCCACCAACCCCCATTAATGTTCCCGCCACTTTTGCCTTCCCTGCAACTGTCCTCAGCCTCACCTTCTCCAACCTAATTTCGATCGACCAACGTGAACATGAAAGAAAACCACGCGCCACGTCAGAAGAACATCCCAGCTGAAGGAATCCCCGAGTATATTCGCCAAGACCGGTTCTAGTGAATTGTACATGTCGATGAACTTGCATGAGAAATCCTCTACATACCCGAAAGAAACAGCCAAGACGAAGGTTACTGCCGGGACCAGGTTGGCCATGGCTGAGGCGTATGTCGCCGATGTCATTGATAAGCTTGCTAGGTATAAATTTTGCCCCATTGATCCCCTGCAGTTCATTCGATCATAGTCAACAATAAAAGACCAGAAACTTCCCCATGCATAAACACCCGAGTCTTCCATATTTACGTACTAGAAGTCTCTTTTAGAAGGAATATCTAGTAAAGGTTGTATCTAGTCTACTGCAGTACATGGAAACGTGGCTTTTAGGCTGTTCTTACAAGAGCTATCTTATAGCACCACAAGCCACTAAGCATTTCCCAAATGTTATGTATTAAACAACAACAGGCATGGTAATGAAGAACCTGAACATCAATGCATCCACAAACACGCACTTACCCAAATAGCCCACAAAAGAAGGCTTGCACAAGCACTGTCCATGTTATCTTTGGCCAGCTCTTCCTGTTACACGTGAAAGAAGGAAATCAGTTTAAACATACATATTCGACTTGACTGGTATCGCAAGGGAAAGAACAAACTTCGCTCAATAAGAGAAGTATGTGCGACCTTTCTAAGAAGAAAGCCAGAGGGGCCAGGAAAGCCGTCGCGAATATGAACCGGTAGGCGATGACGATCGTCAGGTTCATCCCGTTGCTTGCGGCAAGCTTGTACAGTATGTTGACGCCGGCAAAAGCAACCTGGACGACCACCATCATCAGCGGGGCCTTCATTTCATGCACGGCCTCGAACAAACGATACATCGCAAATCCCTCGAAGCCCCTCTCTCTTTCTATCTCTTCCCTTGAGATATCGGTTCCTCGAATGAGTGTGGAAGTATCAACAGGTGATGAAAAAAGACGGGATAATCTTTGTACTCAAAATGAGTAAGAGTGAAGGATGGATGCTGTTGCAGAAGAGAGGAGTGGATGTGGGATATAAATAATGCAACAGAGAACGACGTCACCAGGTGTTTTGCTTGGCTACATACTCGCGTCACCATGCATTAAATCATCCTCGCACCTGCGATCCCCGAGCTGGCACGTGCCAGGAAGGGAAGGAGGCAGAGAGAGTTCATTTGGGTGTTGGCTTCCTCAATGCACGGCGGTCAAACAAATGCACGGAAGTGGAACCGCTTTTTGGCGCAAAAAGCATTGCATTATTTTACTTACTCTATATGTGCTTCGCTACCAACTCGGGCAAATCAAATTAATTTGAATTCCTAAGTTTTTTTTGCACTTACAGAGCATATATATATATTTGTGGGATTAATCGGGTAAAAAAATTCGGATGCCCCATACCATCAAAACATATATGATTTGTATTTAAGTCTTAGGATATGTTGTGGTGATTGAGGAGCATGTGATGTTGATGCGGCCACATAGTGGAAAAATTGCTATTTCAATTCTAAACTTATTGTACGGATTTCAATTCGGTCTTAAAGCTTTCAATTGATATGATATATTCCTAATCCTTTGAGTAAAAATGCAATTGAATCCGCCGGGCCAAATCTTGCCTAACGTTGCTAGCGACACGATTTAGTCATCGCCGGCCATCCTACGTGGCACGGATAGAGATCTAATGTGGACAAGTAGTGGGGTCGGCGACGACTACACCGCACCGCCAATAATGTCAAAAAAACTTGTCAACGTCAGATCACTAATCGTGACACGTAGGGTGGCCGATCATGACTGGACTACAACATTAGCAACTTCAAGGGAATTTTGGCCGGGTGGACTTGATTGCATTGTGAAAATCACACAAAGATTTAGGAGTATATTGAATTAACTGAAAGGTTCAGGACTGGAGCTCTGTTCGTTTAGTGAAAAATGTGACATTTTTGAAAAATGTATTCCAAGAAGTCATTTTCCTGAAAAATGGCAATATTTTCCGGTGTTTGGCTAAAACTTGAAAATGAGTTAGAAAATATTTTATCCGTTTGGCATTAAAAAATTTATTTGATTTTCTTGGGAAAAATATAAAAAATTTCGAATTTTTTAATATTTTAAAAATTTTCTTTTCTTTTTTTCCTTCTATCTTTGTAGGTTGTTAGCCACGGCGACGGCCGGCGACCGGCGACATGCGAGGTGGAGCCTCAGGCAAGGTTGAGCTTGCTCGAGGTTGGTGAGCTCGAGAATCGCCTGTGGCCGATCGCTGGTCGTTGCGTGGCCCGTCGCTGGCCGTTGAATGGCCGATGATCGGCCGAGGAAGAATCAAAATGAAATAGAACGAAAAGAAAAAAAGAAAAGAAAAAAGAAAAAAATAATTAATAAAGAAAAATTCGATTTTTTTAAATAAACAATTAACAAATTAAAAATTCGATTTCAAAATAATCAAAAATTTTAAAATATAAAGATAATTAAAATTTCAATTAAAAAAAATATTTTTATAAGAACGAACGTTTCATTGATCAAGGACCCGAGCTTGAGTGCCAAGGACTCGCACAAGGCCTTTGTGGAACCGGGCCTAAGTGTTGGGGACTAGAGCTCGAGTGTTGGGGACCGCAACCCAACATTTATGGACGCGGGCTTGGGTGCTGGGGCATAGGGTCTGGGCCTTGGCACCGGGGCCCCAAGCCCGACCTCAATGGACCCACGTCCGGCCTCAATGGACTTGTGCTCGGGCGTCAAAGACCTGATCTCGGCCTCGATGGACTGGGCTCGACCTTGATGGACTCATCCTAGACGTTGGAGACTCCGGAACCAGCATCGGGGTTCCCGTGTTCAAACTTAGAACTTTGGATCCAAGCATCAATACCTAGTCATTATTTGGAAATGTTTTTCGACTTTTTCAAAGAGGAAATCATTTCCCTTAGCTTAAGCATAGGTTTTTGATTGATCAGGAAGTTTTTTTTTCCATCGACTCATTTTCCTAAGTGAACCGAACGCCGGAAAATGATTTTCCAGAAATTTTTTTCTGCAAAACAAACGGAGCTTTAATTGAAATTCATACCATAAATTTAGAACTAAAATATCAAATTTTCCGTCATTGTGCACAAATTAACAAAGAAAATTCTTTGAAATAATAGACAATCATCTAAAGTAGACTTAGACATGGAAATGATGACGCCGGGGCAATCTTTTTAGGTGCAATTTTTCCCGGTGGATGCCTGTAGACACACCAAAAAACCCCTTTGCTCTCTTTTCTTCCATCATCTATCTTCTTTTCATGGGGTGGCTGACTAAAAGTTTGCGTATTATAGCACTCCATCGCTCCATTCCTCTCCGCATTCGATTTACAGAGTCAAGTCAGGGCTTCATGACAACGATAAACGAGTGAAGAAATTACAACGCATGTGAAAAAGAAGGCAAACGCTTTTCCAAAAATTTTCAGAAGCACCTTGGACGAGGAAAAGAAATAAAAATAATTATAAAAGAAAAATGGCGGTGCCGGCGGGGACGCCGGTCGGAAAACGTCTAGGGTGACATCATTGAACGGATTGTTAACGTGGGGTGGCACTCGGAGTCGTGCAATTCGGGCGCCGAGGTTTCGCTTTTCGACGTCGTTTCTTTTCGGGCACGTGCAACAGCGACAGTGCATGCCCTGAAAAGTCACGTTTTGATTGCTTTGCTTTCCACTGCCCCTTTTGACTATATTTCTCTCCACTAATGGAAGCTGTAGCCAACTTGGCCTTTGTGATTTGAGACCTAATTTGTCTTTGCATCAATCTTTGTTTATTACTTGGTTCCACCAACTGTCTCGTATTTTCCTTAATGGACCGGCACATTCGCGTGCATTTTCACCGAACATTCGCATTTAAAAAATCCTCTGTCTTTTTCTGTTACACTCATGAATTGAAATAAACACGCGACGACGCCATACACATATATTGTTAAAGTATATCTCGAGTTTGAGCCCGATAGACGAAAACTAGACCTGTCAAAATGGGTTATAAACCCATTTCTTAACCCATATATTAGTAAATATGTCATAAATGGGTTAATTATATTTAGTAAATGGGTCATAAATGGGTAGAAGTCTAATATTAGTATTAAATAGGTCATAAATGGGTTATAAATGGATCGTAAATGGGTCATAAATGAGTTTACAACCGATTTAAACTCAACTCATCTCTCTCGCCACTTCACTCAATATTGCGCTCACTCACTTTGCACTCTCATATCGGTTTGGCATATGAATTTTCATAGATTTAATTAAATATGGAAGTGTTTTAGTAATATGGGTCGATCGGGTATGGGTCGGGTATGGATCATGAAAATTGTATTACGCATAAATGGGTTAATGGGTCAATTTGGGTCGGACCATTTATGACTTGACCCAAATCCGACCCGACCCACCCATTTGACGGTCTAACGAAAACTCGATTCAAAATTAATTATTAATTATGGAGGTTTGAATATTCGGAATTGGATATATTGCATGCGTCCGAAATCGAGCGAGCAAATCACGTGATTTCCCTCTACAAATTGGAGTCCAACGTCTTGATGGACTTTGCTGCGATTAATCATCAAGCCGTTTGCCGTTCGACGAGCCCCAAAACTCTCCGGTTGTGCGTCAATCCAATCTTGACAATCCGTTGTCTCGTTGCACCAATTCGAGCAAACGGCCCCCACAACACCCCCCAACGACGTTGACCGGTCGCCTTTACGAGCCACAGTCACCGGTGCATCGCCATAGCCACCACGAGTCCCTTTGCCAGTCACTGGGGCCGAGTCACACCGCAAGCCACCATCCGTCGAGTCCCGCGAGTTGTCCGTCCGAATTTGCAAACGCTATTTGAGCAATATCGCGAATTAGATAAGAATTTTCATTATTCAATTTTCATATATTTTGTTGCCTAATTTGTGAAATTGCAATCTTGTTTAAATCTTTGAGTAATATTACCATATCCATGAAAACTCCCAAGTACCCTTAAATTAGGAATTATTTCCTAACTTCGTCACGTGCTATGGTTGACAGTCCGATTTCATGCCCGAAATATGACTCGCGATCGCACGGAAAATTGTCAATCCGATCTCCTGCTCGACATATGATTCGCGATTGTGCGGAAGATTGACCAATCTGATCCTCATGCCCGAGATATGATTTGTCAATCTATTGTTTCTAAATTTAAATGGATATGGATAATATTTCTTGTGATTGGGTGTCGTGTTCACTTTATTTCCTTCCGTATTTTGTTTGAATTGAACTGATTGTATTTTGTTTAAATTGAATTGATTGTCTTTCCATAAAAAAAAATACAAAAAGATTAGGTAAAATTTGAGTAGATAATATATTGCATGTTTAGGTTAAAATTTGATTATTTTCTTAGAATAGATTAGATTCTTTTCTTGGATTTTATTATTAAATGCTTAAATTAGGTTAATTATTTATTTCGAATTTAAATTAAAAAATATAAAAAATACCACGTGCATGTCATATTAGAATAGTTGCATATTAATTAATTTTCGTCATTAGAAATCTCACGTCTAGGTTCATTTGTGTGCCATATTAGAGATAGTGCATTTAATTGTTGTTAGAATTAGGACATTTAAATAAATCGTATGTCACATGTCATACTAGACGTAGAATGCATTGCATAAAGTTTAGTTTTCGTTAAATAAGAGAAAACCCTAAAAAAGATTTGAGTGAAATTGCGTGTTAATTAGAAATCATATTAGGGTTGTTAATGTGATTTTCTAACTAACATTGCAGGTGCTTTCATTGCTTTGAGGTAAGTCCCTATCTTGTAATTTATTTATTACTTTGCATTATTGAGTGTTATATTATTAATTGCGCATCCGCATGATCATCTCGCATGTTAGTGGATAGGTTTAAAATCAATCCAAGCTGCTTGCAACTATTTTTTCAATAAAAGAGAAAAGGTACCGAAAGGGCATTAGAGAAATCTAGTGCAATCAAGTCCCCGAATCCAAATCTCTGATTCGTAGGA